GGGTCAAGCCAAAAATTTTCTTACTCGTTAGAAGCGATGATCACAAAGCAAAAACTGCTAGCAAAGCCAGAGGAGAACTCGCTGGTTAGATACGAAATCAAGGCAGACAGTGGCTTGTCTCTGTGCCAGATAAAAGAGACAGTCGTGGATAGAAGGAGCCGTAGGGTGACCCAGGGACGGCAGCGACTGAATGATTAACAACAATAACAATTTGTTTTAAATAGATATTTGGAACTGCGCCATTCCTTTATTCGTTTGGAACGTAACCTCTGCGGTTCGTGAAGAATTTCCATATTTCATTATATCAATTTTCAGTTAAAGCTATCTGTATGTTATTGTTTACATTCGACCATTCACTTCTAAATATTTACTTTTATGATCATGTTTTCATCACATCATATTTCGTCTGTATCACAAAATAATAGGAAATAATCATAAAATAAGTTCTGACATTATTAAAAAATTTTATGTCAGAACTAATTCTTAACTTTAACATTATCTCAGCTTATTTTATTTAATTAGTCAAAACGTTATTTTAACACATTTTTAGAATTTAATTTAGAATAATTTTAAAATAATACATTTCTAAATTTCTAAGCAATTTACTTCAAAAATAAAATCTCTTAAATAATTTTTTAATAAAAAGCTTAATGGTTAAAAATCTCTTAATCAATAGTATCTTTGCAATTTTTAAAATTATTTTTGAACAATTATTACTAAAAATAATTGTGAATATCTTTTTAAAAAAATAATTCTCCAATCAAAGAACTTCTTTTTTATTTTATCTTCTATTTTTTATGAGTCTCTTGTAATATTACATGAACAATCATCCAATTATCTTAAATGATTATTCTAAATATTGAAATGTTAATTCAGAAACAAAAAAAAATAGAACGATATAAAGTAAGAAATCCGAGAAATATTATTAAAATATACTAAAACCTTAATAATTATTGAATAAAAAGTAAAATATTTTTAAGGTTCATAAATAAACAAAAGCTTACTGTATATAAAATAACAATATTCTGTAAAAACTCAAATCATTTAAATGTGCATTATTTAACTTTTTAAAATAGAAATTGTATAAAATATAATACCAAAAAAAGACATAAAAATTATTTTTATTTTTCAACTTAGATTTTAAATATTAGTAGAGTCTGAACTTTTAAGAATGATAAAACGATAAAAGATAATGAATAAATGCATATTGTTTTATGCTTAATGACAAAAATCATTTCAAATTTCTAAATGTATTCATATTTAATCGGATGTCATTTCCAAGAATCTACATTAAAACTTCATCGAGGAAAAAAAAAGGTCATGAAGCAACTAAAAATAGCAAGAAACAAGCTTCTCTTTCGAGGAAAAAAGAAAATGCTTTTAAAAAGTTTTAACAAAAATCAGAAATATCTTTCGATAAACCATAAATAAAATCAGGTTCACAATGAAAAAATCTATTATAAGCGAATTGATTTTATTATTTATTAGGGCCTATATTCTTTTTATAAACTGCTTCTAATATTAATAATTTATAAAAATATCTCAAATAAGAACAATTTTGAATTTTTAATTATTTTCAATACATCTGAATACGAAATTCAATACAAAAAAAATGTTTTTTGCTTAGTCTATTCATATCAATCAAAAATCAACTCATTTATTTTATTATATTTCTCGTGTTTTGATTAAAGTCATAGAATTATCATCCCCCCAAATAATTTTAAAAATTGTAAAAATCTATTAATAATACTTAATTTTTTTACAATGTAAGCAAAGTATAACAAATTAGATAGATTCGCAATATTGCGATAAAAGAATGAATGGCGCAAGACATTCAGCCGATAATTGGATTGCATAAACAATAAACAAGATGAATTTCGAGTCACACGGAGAGAAACACCCATAAAAATGTAATCCTGTTGTTAGCGATTTGGTGATTTTTATAAGTAATTGTAACTAATATGCATCAATACTAATTACAAATAGAATATAATTCTTCAACTGATTTATTTTAACACTAGTTAAATTGAGAAACAAGTTAAAATATAAAAAATTATTTTCTTGTTAGTTTTATTCTTCATAGTTTCAATTTACTTTAAATTATTTACTCGCGGTTCATAATTTATTTACACGTTTCTCTTGCGTTAATATATCCGTGAGTTAAACTTAATAAATTATACTTAGTACGAGCAGAACGTTAATACAGTATAAAAATTTATAATAATTCTTCTTGAAATAAATTTTATTTAATTTTTTATGTTAGATTCATTTTGACAAATAATTTNATCGCGACGCTTCTGCTTCTGATGTTGCCGAATGTTTTTCCCTTATTCCATACTTGCTTTATTCTTCATAAGTGCTTAGCACCATATAAGGAAATTTATAAAGACCTTTTAACTAGAAGCAAGCAATCTAAAATTACATACATTTTGCAAAAGGTAAAGCATGGATCTGAAGATAATGCCGAAAAATGCTCAGAGGATAAGGATAACTTGCCAAAAAGAAAACGCTCTCGGTTAATTAATAGTGTTTTTAGTGATGACGAAGAAAATATTGTTTAATTTATATTAATATGTATCACTTTAAAAAATTTTAATGAAGATATTTATCTTAATTATAAAAATATACTAGCATGTTTTTTTAATTTTTGGAAGCTAACCCTCCTTTTCGTATTAGTTATTTGTTTCGTATAACACGGATTGGCATAACACGGCAATTTTTTGGAACGTAACTACCGTGTTATACGGGGGTTACCTGTATTGACAGGTGCACGACGATTGTACTGCGGATGGTTCGATAAACTACACTTAACATCATAAATGCTTTAAAGTTAAAACAAATAAATTTTAACTTTTTTTGTCAATGAAGGGGCTTAAAACTCCTTGTACAGTATCTGTCACTGATTACAGACAGGAAACAGTGAGTTTTTAAAAAGCGTCCTGAAAAAGATATCCATTAAGCAAAATTTGAACATAAAAGAACGGTACTTCAAGCAGTTACTCAAAGTTTTTAAAAAGTTAAATTGAATTAAGTAACAATAGAAAACATTTCTTCGTTACTCTTATTAACACATTAAAATGACATAAAATTGGAAAATATTAATATTTTATTCAACAGAAATATATTTAAAACTTCAGTTTTATTAAGTGTTAAGTTAAATTTCAAATTTATAAAACTAAATTCTATTGAGAAGTTTAACCTGATTTTGAACTTTGTTAAAAGAAAAACATTTTTCCATTAAAAATCAATTATTGAATCACATTTATAGGTCATTTTATTCAATTGGGATTAATTTTCGGCTAACTCAATCCTTGGGGAAGTTAAATAATAAGTCTATATGTCACGAATGCTTGTAAGCTGTGCATGAGATTTTAATACCACCAACCTTGTTTTATAGCTAATTTTAACAGCAAAATTACATATTATGAATAACAACAAATATTATATTCTAGTCTGACATGAATGTAATAAATGTAATAATCAAAATTTTATACATTGCTTATAATTAATTTTCAAGCAATTCTAAAAACATTTTACGATACAATTTTAATATTGAAAATTTTTTTTAGGAAAATAAAATAAAATTTTCAACTTATTCATTCATTAAAATTAAGAATTACATCTCTAATAAATGATTTTTACTATCATATTAATAACATTTTATTTCATTATAACATGAATTCATTTATGACTTGTTATGTGTGGTTTGATAAATTAAGTTACTACAAAATTTTATTCTTTCAGTTCATTAAAACATAATATGGACGTAACAAAATAGTTTAATTGTATGAAAGTTTAGTGTTTATTAGTTTGAAATTAATGTATATTTATGAAAGTTTGGACTCATTTGTGAGTCTATATATTTCAAACAGATCTACAACAAAAGTCATCACATTCAGTGAACTTAAACTATCAATATAACCAAAGGAAGTCAAAGCAAAAATTTTAAATGAATTTCTTATTTTTTCCCTTTAAAAATTTTAAAAAATAAATTTAAATAGTAGTACTTACTTATATCAGTTANATAATAAAATATAGATTAAAATACTAGTTAATGCAAATAAGTAAACAGGAATTTATATAAAAATAGAAATACAGTAATATAGTTATTGAATATTTTGAAACAATTATTTCAATTTTTTTTTCAAAACAGCAATTCGAAACTGAATTGATTTATAGTGCAGGAGAAAAAAATTTTAATCCTGTTTAATAATTAATATAAGGTAGTACGAAAACAACAAATGTGGTTCAATGCATCAATTATCATACGTTTAGTTTTAATTTCTGAAGTTTTACAAAAAGTTAATGTCATTTAAGTGTTTTAGAATAATTTATTAAGTGTATTTTCTATTTAAATATAATCGAATTTATTCTAAATAAGTTATTGGAATAATTTTGAAATATAAGTACATATAATGTAATTGTAATTAATATGTTAGAAAAATCAAAAAAGATTCATAAAAATTAGAAATTTGATTAAAATTTTTATTCGTAATTATTACATAAATTGAAGACATTCAACATAATTTAATAAAGCGCTGTGGTTAACTTTGTAGCTTATTGAATTAATATACATTAGAGTCCGTTAATAGATATTTATTTAATTATAATTTTGTAAGAAGAGTTAATATTAACATATTAATAACATTTTATTTCATTATAACATGAATTCATTTATGACTTGTTATGTGTGGTTTGATAAATTAAGTTACTACAAAATTTTATTCTTTCAGTTCATTAAAACATAATATGGACGTAACAAAATAGTTTAATTGTATGAAAGTTTAGTGTTTATTAGTTTGAAATTAATGTATATTTATGAAAGTTTGGACTCATTTGTGAGTCTATATATTTCAAACAGATCTACAACAAAAGTCATCACATTCAGTGAACTTAAACTATCAATATAACCAAAGGAAGTCAAAGCAAAAATTTTAAATGAATTTTTTATTTTTTCCCTTTAAAAATTTTAAAAAATAAATTTAAATAGTAGTACTTACTTATATCAGTTATTGTAATTGTGACATCACCTATTTCAATTCCTTTGAAATTCTGCGCCTTTTTTGTGTTTGCATCACTTCTGACTGAAAATAAAATATCATTTTAATATATTCAGCACGAAATAAAAACTACACAAATAAAACTTGAAAATTTTAATTTAAATATTAATGTCATTAAAAATAATAACGTTAATCAAATATTTTATTTTAAAATAATTATCAATGTTTCAATTTTGTCAACTTATATCATGATTAACAGGTAATGCTCAAGCAAAATTAATAATTAATAAAATGATAAACATGGAAAATTTAATAGAATTATTATCTAATTAAAAACCATGCTATTTTAAAGTAAAACCTAAAGTACTTTAAAGTTTTCCTTCTTTAACTCTGTATTGTTAAAATAATGCAGAAAGTAGTTTTATCAATCAGCCTTTCACTTTAATATAACTAGTAATTTCCATGTATTTTCACGTAGGAAAATAAAAATACTGAAGAAAATATTCTGAAAAGATGTTTATTATCCTGCAGAAAAACATGAAATCTTCATAATACAGTATTAAAATAATTTATATATGAGATATCTTCTTTTCTTGAGATTGCTTTTCTTTACTGACACGTGATAATTTTTCTTCTAATTGTTTTCTTTCTTCTATAGCCAATTTTGTTTTATCTTTTAATTCTTCTAGCTGTATAAAATTATATCATAATATTATTTTGATTATTTATATAAATAATTTATATATGTACAAGATGATTCAAAGATCTCTAAAATCACACAACTTACAAAGTTATATTTCCTGTTCAAAATACTTATGTCTATTGCATTGATATTCTGAATTTATAAATGATTGAATTTCAAAAATTGGAATTATCATCACTAATTTCTTTTTAACATTGAAGAATTACAAAGTTATAAAATGAAACCAATAAAAAATCTAGCAACAAATTGTGTAACTTTTCCAATTGTTATAAAAAGTTTTATATGACAAAATCTCATATTATTAATTATTGTAAACATTGTCAGGTGTCATATCTCAAGGGGACAAAATTAAGCATTTTGCCCCCTTGAGATATGACACCTGACATCTCTCTATCTCTACACTTTCTTGACCTTTAAACCAGCAAAATTTAATAGCATCAATGCCCGTTATACACAAGCTAAAGATGGATGCTGAAAACATATATAGAAACTTACAAAAGATGCTGAAAATGATGTCCTTGTGCATCTATTCACTTTTGTATACAAACAATCATCATACACAAAGGTTCACAGTACTCATGTTCANGAAATAAAACTACTGTATTATTAAAACGGGATGTTTGCACTTAAATTCTGTGAAGTAATAAGATTTGAACATAACAACAGAAAAAAATCAATATTTAAATAAAATTTAAAAAAAAATAAATAAATAAAAACAACTGTTAAGAAGAAGAATTTATCAATTACAAAAGAAAAAACTTAATGTTACAGTTAGATAAATTATTATAATAATCTCTCTCTTTCTCTCTTTATAGCCTATATATAAAAGAATAAGCATAAAAATATCATATTTTGTAGCCAATCAGAATTAATTTTATAACAACTATGACACATGATTTCAATCTTACAATTTTTTCTTTATTCTTCCAATTATACATCGAACTCCAGCAAACCGAATATACATTATTTATCTCGCGCTTAGAAGACTATCGACGATTTCGAGTACATTTTGATATAAAATTTGTCGTAATCTACATATATTTATTAAACGCTTTCCTAATTAGTTTCGTATTTATACTTGTTCGAGACGAAAATGATTCCTTTCAGGAATGATAATAATGGCGGCACATCTGGTTACCTTACAACGCTGATTCTGCTTTTAGAATTGGCTTTCTTAATAGTTTAATTTAAAATACGTTTTTAATTAAAATTTTTACATTTCATAAATTTTTTCTAAACATCCGCGCATAGCCAATAAATGACATTAATTTAAAATAATTCTTTGTTTCATTAACACATGCTGATTCTTAAATATTTTTATAAGTATTTAACTATAACAAAAGCAAATACAATTCATATTGAAACATAAAAGGAATTTAATATAGCAAATATATCATGTATGTATTAGCGGTGTGGTTGCGCCGTGTTCCTACTAGTTCTGATGATAATCCAATAGCCGAGCACATGGAAATTTTCGAAATTTTTATTTTTGCATTAAGAGAAGAAATTCTTTTATTTTTTTAAAATCAGAATCTGAATAGAATTCATCAAAAATCTTAAGACAGAAGACATGTCATTGTTTAGCTTATATTAATTAAATAAAATAATTACAACTTTAATTATTTATAGTTAATGATTATCAATTAAATTAAATCAAATAACTTCAATATATTTTCATAAATCGAGATCCTTTAAACGCCATAAACATTAACTGTAAACGCCATAAAAGCATAAGCACAAAAACATATACCCCATGCTCTGTATTATTGATAAGATATAAATTGTACCGTATGTACTAAACCACAATCACATTGCATTAATGAATTAAGTAAATCAAAGAACAATATGAACTTTTTCATGTGAAACTTGAAAAAATAATGAAACTTTTATATTCATAATCAGCATTTACTACGTAAAAATTATCCAATCTAAATTAATCAGTCGGATGGCCGAGGCAGTTAAGGTGTCAGTCAACCGCTCTGTAGGACTCAGGATTATATCTGGGCAAACTCTTCAGGCATTTTTCGTGCCTGTCTGTCCTTGATATTTCGAGTCCCGTAACACACCAAACGGTAGCCCCAAGATAGGAGTGATTTAAAAGGCCCTCTTAATGCCTGAAGTAATAGAAACAACTTTTTCACTTTGTTTCTTTCTGCCTTAGAGCACTTAAACCCTAAATTACAATAATTTTCAAGCTTTTTAAAAATAACAGGATTTGATTTCAAATAATTGTTATTTTAATCTATACTTTTTAAATTTTTTTTCCATTATTTAAATTATAATAGAATCATACAATATAAAATCTCAAACGATTAAATTCATATTCTTATACAATAATAATAATGATATAATAATTTACAAAAAGTAATAATAATTCTCACAATAAAAATTAAGTAATCATTTTAAAAAATAATATTTTTCTTATTGAATAAATATAATAAATCAATTGGAATTTTTTTCGGATTGTCAAAACAATTAAATAACGATCTGCGTGTAATATTTTTGAGTCAAATTTTTTACACGCTTTAAAATAGCACGCTTGCTTTTATTGTTGCCATTTCTCAATATCGACTTTTTCTTTCTGTTTGTTTGTTTTTTTTTTTTGTTAAACATCAAAAAATCGTTTGGAAAACAATGGCTAAATTTATCTCTATAAGAAACTTTTCGATATGGTCATTTATTGATAATTTTAAAAAGAATAATATAAATTTTTCATGAAAAATTTAGTTACAATATAAACTGTACGATATTATAACATAAATATTTTTGTGTATTCATTAAGAATGAATGAACTTAAAACAAAATGGTCACATTAAGATAAGAATAACTAGCATAACTATTGATTTACTCTATGTGCAGGTTAAAAAAGAAAAATATTTAGACAAATTATATAAGTTTTCTTTTATTAAATTCTGATTTAATAAAAGAATTTTTATTAAATCAGAATTTAATAAATTTGCATTATTTAGTAAAGTTTAAGAAATGGAGTCAAAAACTATTTATTAGAATTTTTCCGCAAACATTAAAATGTTTTAACGTGAAACAATTTTCCTGCGAAATTAAGTGCATATATTTAATCATAAAAGTCACCCATTTCTTAAAAGCTCATTTATGTTTATTCTTAAGAAAACGTTGATTATATAATAAACTGTACATTATAATTAAGTTGAGACTTGTTTTTTAAATTTACTACATAAATGTACAGCAGAAATATACAATCCGTTAATCAGGAACCCTCTGAGAAGTAGCTAATAATTCGGAATTGTTCGATAATAATCCGGCATGCTAGTATTCCGAAAATTGGAATTTATTTGAACACGTAATGTGCTAATCATCCGGGAAATGATGTGTTCATTAACGTTTTTGCATATTTTCCAATCTTAACACAACAGAGTCATTCTCAGTATCACCTTCAGACTGATTAAAGAGCGTGGGTAAACAAATCGAAAGCACACAGCAGCGTGCGCTGGTACAAAATGTACAGCAGTATCTAAACTTTTCAGATATTGCTGTACATTTTGTACCAGCGCACACAGCAGCGTGCGCTGAAATCTGAGAAGTTCAGATCACGTATAAATTGCTGAATTTTGGGAAAATACAAAAGTATCCAATAATCTGGTATCACTCTGATCCTGTAGGTGCCGAATTAACGAACTTCTACTGTGATATATTTTATATTAAGCACATTATTAATAGTAATAATGTACTGTACTAAGAGTGTAAAAGGAAAACATTTATGATAATATCTCTACCTTAAAATTAGCAATCGAGTTCAACAAACATTATAGATTTTAATCATGGCAACATAAAATGAATATATTTATGTGAGTCACAATATTACTGTATTTACGGAAGAAAATTGAAGAGAACTGTTAAATTAATCATAGCACGAACCTCATTACGTAACTGATATTTGAGTTAGGAGGAAAAAATATTTCGTGACACAAAGAACTATTTCAAACAGAAATTTTATATTCTATTTATTACAGAAGAATGCATTTGATTTTGTGCGGCTTGATTTGGTTTATAGTTATACATTTTATAACTATCATAAGTGTTTCTTTTTAACAATACATATTCATGAAAGTGACCTCTAATCTTATCAAAGATGTTCTATTTTGTGTTTTATATTAATAATATGAAGTATTGTACTTGTTAAATATTAATTATAATTAGGTAAAGGCAAAATAACTATTACAGAAAGACAAAATTTACTTTCAACAAAATAAAACATTTACCTTATCACATTAATTTTAGTATTAGCATCCTTGTAATAAAGAAGCATTTGTGATAATACAGTTTCAAATTACGAAGACTAAAAGTAATTTTATACAATTATGTAATTTATGTAAATTTGGCATATTTATCACGCTGATTTCTC